GGAATATTCTTCAACAGAAACATCTGCATATTGAGAAGTTCAGCTAGATCTGGTGGAAGTTCAGCATCTTTTAAAGGGCTACAGATTACCTATAGAATTCTTCTCACTACAAGATAGCCACCCATCACTTCAAATCAATTTGTTTGGTCTTCTAAATCCATTGCTACTGACTTTGACATCTGACTTGGCTTGTTCAAACCCCAGCATCCGTGCAAGTATCAAGGAACTGCCTGAATTCTACCAACTGGCACATTCTTGTACAAACTAAACCACAGCTCTTTAGCCATAGCATATCCTGCATAACAACTGTCCTTAAGGGTGATAACTGAAATGTGTAAGACCCACTCACTGAAGCATGAGTTTCTACTCTCAATCCACTAAATTCATCTACTCTGTATATCTAGAAATACCCTTCCTTCCCTCTTTCAACTGCTGAATTTGTGCCACGCCAGTCTAGCACTAACACTACTGGGAGTTAGTGCTAGACTCACTCCCAGTATCCAAAAGAAAATCCAATAAACGTGCAACGAACACAGCAAAACAAAGGGTCTTGAACTGCAATATTATACCACTTAGAAAGCTTTTAGCACAACTGTTGTTCATAACCCCCTGTGGTATCTTCTGTCTGTATACTAAAAGCTTCACTGGTGATTAAAACCATTTATGCCAGTGGCACTTAAACCAGGGTGGGTGGGTTTTTGTTTTTTGTTTTGCTTTTGCTAAATATCAACCTGTAATCTAGATAAAAAATCTAAATCCATGAAATGATGAAATGTCTTTGGTATGTGATAGCAGAAATGACAAGAAAAAAGCCACCCAGCAGGTCTCTGTCTGTTACTAACATTCTTGCAAAGCAAAGAGAGGGAGATCTGGTGATTCTTCAATCCTCCCCTCTCTTGGGCTCTGCTCTGGTCAGGAAGCGGGGCAGGGTGTGTGCCTTCCCTATTTAGATGTTAAGAAGCCAACTGGACTCAAAGTGAATAAAGTGTGTCCCCTGGTCCTGAAAAGTTCAGAAAAATTCAAAGTAGAAAACGTTGATCAATAGCTATGCACCTAAATAGAACTTCTGCATTCAGGAGTAATATACTTCAAATTAAGCAGATTATTGGACAAAAAGCAGCAGAGAAAGATTGCTAACATCAGGTGGGCTTTCCACAGAAGTATCTACATAATCATTGTGGAAAACAAAATGCTGGACCATGATGTTTCAGAGAAACTTAGCTGTGATGATTTTATGCCAACATATTTGTTCTGAAAATGCTTTTCTGAATACTAAGTCATTCCCACAGTCAGATTCCAAACAAACTATTCTTAATTTGGCCAATCCAGAGCCTTGTAAGAATGCAACATAGCCCAATCTTAAAGACTTCACACTACAAAACAGGTTGGCAGACTAAAAGACAGTCTGACCAGTCGCTAGAATATCCTATAATTCTATATACCCTGTTTCTTATGCTTGGCTTCTGCCAACTAGCTTCAACTCAGGGGCCACAAATCTACAACCCACCTTTCAATCCTCAGATATCCTTTGAGAGGGTATTGATCCTTTGCTCTGAAGTCTACAGCTATGCCCAGCACATTCTTTCATCAAAGGAATTAGCATAGACAACCTCCTGGGTACCACCCCAAGAACTTCCTGGAGTTTGATCCTCAAACCCGCTGCTCATGATCTGTCCCAGCATGCTTCTTTTCTTAGCCTTGTGTCCAGCCCGTGTTTCTGGATAAGGGTTTTTCCTCTATCCTTAAAGTATTTTGTTACATTCTTGATCCAGATGGACAGGCTACACTAAAGAGCTTCACTTCCTGGAATCAGCTTCCATATGATGTGTGCCCTTAACAACAAACAGTGGGTCAATACTTGCTGGAGGTAGAGATCTAAAAGCTGTTGATTCCAAATTCAGCAGTTGGAAGGGGCGTAATAACAGGGTTATTCCAGTGTTTCAAACTATATGCAGTCATGGACCACTGGACATCTGGAAAATGCAGGGACCAAACACCCCTTCCCTCTGTTTTTGTCTTTAAGACCATGGGAATCTACATTTTTTTTGTGGATAAGATCATGATGGATGCATCTGCGTACGGCTTCCTATTCCCTCCATTTTAAAAGGCCTTTTAAAACTACATTTTTATCAAATACTGTAGACCAAATTTAAATATTTATTTACTTAAATTCATTTACTACTTAAATTAGTTTCTGTACCCCATGCCAAAATAAAAACTACTCTTAGTGCTAGTCAGGAATATTCTTCAACAGAAACATCTGCATATTGAGAAGTTAGGAGTTAATAGTTCTCCAACCCAATGAAATCAATTTTTTTTTTTAAATTCACCACTGTATTTCCTATTTGTACTTTTTGGGGGGGAGGGGGTACAACATCAACGTTCCACTGTATTTGAAAAGATGGACATCAGCTTTTCTCTGCTGGTGATATAAAAAAACTTGAGGGGTCATTGATTCATATTTGGTCCTCTGAATCATTGACACCCTCTTGGAATAATATTTATAGTTATATAGATATAGATATAGATATATAGATTTGTGGGGAATTTTTTGTGTTTAAAGATGTTATTTATTTATAAATCAAATTTATATGCAGCCCATCTCACTATCAGTGACTCTAAGCGGCTCGCAGGTAAAAAACATAAAAACATTTAAAAACTACAAAACACATTAAAAGAGTACAAAGTTAAAAGATGGAGAGAACATCCTCAAGCTAGTCAGCAGAGTCAGGTCTTAAGGCTCTTCCAGAAGGCAAGAAGAGTGTGGGCCAACCTCACCTTGAGAGGCAAGATACTGCACAGGGTGAGGGTGATGGCAGAAAATGCTCTCCTCCTAGACCCCGCCAGTCGAAATTCTCTAATCGACAGGGTCCACAACATGCCCTTCCTGCCGGACTGGGTGGGATGGGCCGATGTAACCGGGATGAGACGGTTCCTCAGGTAACATGGGCCCTTGCCATAAAGAGCTTTAAAGGTCATAACCAACACCTTGAATTGGATCCAGAAGCAAGCTGGCTCCCAATGCATCTCACGCAGGTGTTACATGTGAAACCCTAGGCGTGCCGAAAACTGCCCATTCTATACCAGCTGCAGCTTCTGGTTACTTTTCAAGGGTAGTCCCATATAGACCGCATTGCAACAGTCCATGTGGGAGATGATCAGGGCATAAGTGACCGAGAGAAGGGCTTCCCAATCCAAGAAAGGGCGCAACACAAAGTCGTGCAAAGGCCCTCCTGGCCATGATTGCCACCTGCTCCTTGAGCAGGAGTCGTGAGTCCAGGAGGACCCCCAAATTGTGCACGGGGTCTGTTTGGGGTACTGCAACCCCATCCAGAACCAAAGATGGTAAAACCCCAGATACGGGAGAGCCCTGAACCCACAGCCACTCCGTCTTGCCAGGGTTCAGTTGAAGCCTGTTGATCCCCATCCAGATCCTCACAGCCTCCAGGCATTGCAAAAGAACATCCACAGCATCACTTAATTCACCTGGGACAGAGATGTATAATTGCGTATCATCGGTGTACTGATGATACCTCACATCCCATGGCGACGGATGACATCACCAGCAGCTTCACATAGATGTTAAAAAGGAATGGAGAGAGCACCAAGCCCTGCAACACCCCACAAAGCAGGGGCCGTGGGCTGGACCTCTCCGTCAACACTGATTGGGACCAGCCTTGGAGAAAGGAGGTGAACCAGCACAAGACTGTGCTCCCCACCCCCAACTCCCACAGCTGACTCAAAAGGATACCATGGTGGATGGTATCGAAAGCCGCTGAGATTCTACCGTCAAGAAGAGCCAGGATGGATGTACTACCCTCCCAGTCCCACCAGAGGTCATCTAAAAGTGCGACCAATGCTGTTTCTGTCCCATATCTGGGCCTAAAACCCAACTGGAAGGGATCCAGATAATCTGTTTCATCCAGGATCTTCTGGAGCTGCAGTGCCACCACCTTCTCTTCCACCTTCCCCAAGAAGGGGAGGTGAGAGACTGGATGAAAGTTGTCCAGAACGGTGGGGTTGAGCGATTGCTTCTTCAGGAGAGGGCGAACCAGCACCTCTTTAAAAGGGGCTGGGAACACCTCCTCTCTCAAGGAGGGTTTAAAGATGTCAGTGTTATGTTAAATCATGAGCCAAAACATTTGACTATTTTCGAGGAGTTATAGTTGTATCGGGCCTGGGATGTTACTAAGAGAATTATTTTGAGAAATTGGAAAAGTAGTACTGTAGTATTCCTGATATTAAGGTTTAGATTGAAGAGATATATGACTTTGAAAAGACAATTTTATCTATTAATCAAAAAATGAATCAGTGTTTTTCTGTGGCACAGATTTTATGATATTTTGTAATGTTAGTCAATTATTTTTTCTCTAATGTAGATTTAGAAATGTTTCACATTTGATTAATATGTGACATACATCAATAGTTTCCCTTCTTTTCTGTTCTTTGTTTTGTTTTGGTAGTTTTTTATGGGTTTTTTTTTTTTGTCTTTTGTAATTGTTCTATTTCTTTCTGTAAAACTTGTTAAGAAATAAATAATAAAAATTTTAAAAGTGTTCCCCTTAGAATCTGCAGGCTCATCACTGAAAACCCCATTTGGGTGCTG